TTGTGAGTTTGTTGATGCGCTTTCTTTCTGTTTTTCAAATGTAGACTTCTAAAGCGATGCATTTTCCTCTCAGGATTGCTTTTGCTGTATCCCACAGGTTTTGGTAGCTTGTGTCTTCATTGTTGTTATACTCAAGGAAGTTAATGATTTCCTTTTTTATTTATTCCTGCACCCAACTGTCATTCAGCATAAGATTGTTTAACTTCCATGCCTTTGTGTGAAGTTGAATGTTTTTGTTGGAGTTGAGTTCCACTCTTAGTGCCTTGTGGTCTGAGAAGATACAAGGTAAAATTTCAATTCTTTTGATTCTGTTGAGGTTTGTTTTGTGTCCTAGAATATGATCAATTTTGGAGAATGTTCCATGGGATGATGAGAATGTATATTCTTTATCTTTGGGATGGAGTATTCTATATACGTCTATCAAGCACAGTTGTTCTAGGGTCTCATTTAAATCTCTAATATCTTTGTTTAATTTCTGTGTAGAGGATCTGCCTAGCTCTGAGAGAGGGGTGTTAAACTCCCCTGTTATCATGGTGTTATAAAATATCATATTGCTCAGACTAAGCAAGGTCTGTTTCAAGAATCTGGGAGCTTTTAAATATTTAGAATTGAAATATCTTCTTGTTGTATTTTTCCCTTGACCAATATGAAGGACCATTTTGTTTTTTTTGACTTCAGTTGCTTTAAATCCACACGTATCTGAAAATAAAATTGCAACCCCTCTTTTCTTCTGAATTCCATTTGCCTAAAAAATTGATTTCCAACCCTTAACTCTGAGTTTTAATTTATCTTTTGACATGAGGTGTGTTTCCTGCGGACAGCAAATAGATGGCTTGTGCTTTTTAATCCAACACAGCCAATCTATGCATCTTCAGTGGGGAATTCAAGCCATTGACATTTATTGAGATAATTGATAAGGGTAGTAACATTCTATTCATGTTATTTTGTTAAAGTCCATTGCTTAGTTTTGTCTTTTGCATCATTGTGGAAGTGAGGTTCTGTCCTTTAACTTCTGGGTGTTTACTTTGCTGAAGGTCCATTGAGATGGTGAGTGTGTAGAACAGATTGTAATATTTCCTGTAAAGCTGGTCTTATTGTGGCAAATTTCCTCAGTGTTTGCATATCAGTAAAAGATCTGATTTCTCTGTCAAGTTTAAAGCTTAGCTTAGCGGGATATAGCATTCTGGGCTGGAAATTGTTCTATTTAAGTAGATTAAAGATAGATGACCATTTTCTTCTGGCTTGAAAAGTTTCATTAAAGAATTCCATGATGACCCTGATAGATTTGCCCCTGTAGGTCAATTGGTGCTTACTCCTGGAAGCTTTCAAAATCTTTTCTTTTGTCTTGACTTTAGATAGGTTCATCACAATGTGTCTTGGAGATGTTCTATTTGACTTGAAGGGACCGGGGACTGATATCCTTCTGAAAGGAGTATGCCAGAATCTTTGGTGCTATTTGGGAAATTTTCATTTATAATATTCTCTGAGACCATCAACTGGTATCTTAGGCTAGAGAAGTTGAGATGTCTGCCAGACATCTGAGGAGATGAGACTTGTTCTCTCCCCTCTCTCTTCAGGTTGCACCATTATTTGGCTACTTCGGATGTTCCATTACCCTATGTCCTTACTTACCCTTTACTCAACCTTCATGAGGGGCTGTAATTTCCCCTGTCTTATTCTTAAACTTCACTGCTGGCTACTAACTGCTGTGCATTCTTGCATGTATACTCTTTTATGTACCCCCCCCCCCAAAAAAAAAGATTCCAGGAAGCAGGACAAGTTGCTACATTGCTTTCATGCTGCCACCAGGCACATGAAACAATGTAAGCCCTTATAGGCTTCCAGACTTTATGCTATAGAATTGGTGTAAAGTCTTGTGATTTCCCCAGTGCTGTGTCCCTTCCTGACCACTGTCCCAGGTGGGGGTCCACTAGACACCTAACTTCTGTGACTCCTTTAATCAGTCACTGCTGTTTTCTGAAATTGGTCTCCTCCTCCTCTCTCAGAGGAGGATGAAGGCCTACAACAATAGTTTTCAAATTTGCTTTAAGACAGAGAAGCACTTCCTCAAAGTGAATATAATACCTAAACTGATTATGTACGTGACTGGGCAACGTTTAAAAATAATAACCTCTTGTTTTGCTTTCTTTGCTTTCCTTTTTGTCTTTTCCAGTGAAGGAGCCAGATTCCTGGTATGCCTTAAGTGCAGTGATTTTTTTTTTTCAGCTCTGAATGAGAAGCTGTGTGACATCCACTGCTCTTCCCTCATAAAAGTGCCCAAGATGGTTAAGAGATTGTGTTGCATCATGCTTTGTATATAACACTATGTGGAAGGCCATGTCTTATAGACTTAACACAATCCCAGGGAAAGATTTTGTCCCATGTCCCAAGAGTGTAGTGTTGTGTATACCTGGGATGGAGGCATTATCAGCCCAGAGCTGGAGCTTATGCTCTTCTCACAGGCAGTGCTCTGTTTAGTGGCAAGAACCTTGAATGGGTGGGTGCTGAAAGTACTGACACGGTGAACTCAACCCAGGGAAGTGCTCATTCAACAAAAAGACACATAGTCTATCTGTGGCCTCCAAGCCAAGAACTTCCTAATGCTGAGAAGTCCAGGTAGGCCTGGAAGCCATGGATGTAGGAGTAACACGACGGCCAATTTTTCATTTTTCCAGACCATATGATTCTAGTTTCACTTGGCACAGGAAAGCGCTTGTGTTAAGGTCAGGATTTACTTTTCTGAGCATTCCAATGGGATGAGTGCATTTCCTATGATTTGAAGCACTTCAATGACCTTCACGGCTGTTACTTTTCAAACAAATGAAAACAAGGCTGCCCTAATTGACTTCTTCTTCCCTACCTGTTACATAGGTGAAAGGACACTCCAGTGGACACAATTCGTGTCTAAAAACTAAATGATTAAAGTCATTTTCACATCCCACACTTTGCTGCTCTGGAGTCTCATGTTACCATATTCAAACAAACTGTGATCAGAAATAAAAATAACATACATATTCAGGGTGTCCCAAATTTGCCCATAAAGTCTGCATACATAAGGAAAATGGGAAATTGTAGCTAAACACTTTTGTTTACAAAATCTCATTACAGAATTTTACAAAATATTTACAAAATATAGTGTACACATTGGCCACCTATTTCCAAAATTTCCTAATGAAAATTTTGTGAATAAAAGTATATTTAGGGCCGTACCTGTGGCTCAAGGAGTAGGGTGCTGGCCCCATATGCTGGGGGTGGCAGGTTCAAACCTGGCCATGGCCAAAAACTGCAAAGCAAAAATAAACAAACAAAAACACTACAAAATCAATAAAATAAAGTTGATTTTTTAAAATAAAGTGTATTTAGCTACAGTTTCCCATTTTACCTATGTATCGTGACTTTATGGGCGACTTTTGGAACACCCTGTACTTTATTCCTGTAGATTTCCCACATAGCTTGAAGTCCTGTGGACTAATCTGGAGGGTGGAGCGGGAGTTATACAATTTGGATACAAGTCATCAACACTGTCAGTTTCACTTGGGCTCAGATGACAGAGTCTGTTCCTGTGTTCACTGTTTATCCCCAATGCCTGACACTAATTGGTCAGTGAGTATTTATGTGTTGATTGATGGGAAAATTTGTGCTTTCTAGTCCTTCTCCAGAGAGGAGTCTTTCTGAATGCAAAAGGCTGATGTAGTCCAGGTGTCCAGCAGGGAGTCTTAGCCTAGAGGCTGGCAGTGACCAAAAGGGACAGCTGAAAGGAGTTCACACTGCTGAGTGATCAGGTGGCCAGTGAATCCTGAGTATGTGAAGATAGTGGGCTCTGTGTGAGGGGTTGAGCTGGCATAGTCCAGGGGAGAGATTGGGCAAAGGGTTCAGGAGACGGGTCCTGCTAGCACTGTCCTCCCTGGGTCTTTCCTGGTGTCAGCACTGGCCTGGTCACTCTGAGGCCCCTCTTGGTCAGGGCATGAGCCAGAGTGGCATCCCAGTGATGAGACCTGATGGAAACACATGGGTCTGTGAGTATCTTAAGAGGAGAGATGAAAGGAAGGGTCCAGCTCAGACCCGTCGTCTGGAGAGGACAAGAGCTGGTGAACTCTGGGAGTTCTCAGCAGGGATGGGATAGCCGGGAGGCTGGAGGCTAAGCTGGACCATGAGATCAGAAGAGGGCAGAGAGGGATGGGGAGCTCAGGATCAGTGTGGTCTGTTCTCTCCTGACAGTGCTCACCTTCAGCCCTGGCAGAGGGCAGGGCCTGGAGAGATCAATGTGAATAAGAAGGTGGCCACAGCTTTGCCTGAGGGTTAGGAGGTGGTGAGGTGGTGAGGGGAAAGGGAAGATGAAAAAGCAGAAGACAGCAGAATTGTGTCACTGGCCTGCATAGTACAAAGTTGGTGTCTGTGAGTGAGAGTCAATGAATAAACAGAAAACTGACCTTCCTGCTCAGCTAGGGCACATTTATTCAGTTACTGGCACCTCCCCCAGTGTAAATTTGGACCAAGATTCAGAGAAATCAGTCATTCACAGAGGGCACTTAGTCTGCTTCCTGCATTTGGAGGCTTCTCATGGTTCTTTGTATCCAGAACAGGAAACTCACGACCTTGGTGTAGGGTTGTGGAGGCCTCCCATGCTTCTTCTCGTAGGAGACAATGCCCTGGGCTATGTCGTTGCACACAAGAGGGCCCCCAGAGTCTCCCTATGAATGGAGGGGCAGGACTGAGCTGGTGCTGTCCTGGTCTTGCCCTTCTTGTCATCTCATGCTGGCTCTCAGAGAAGGTGAATTTGCATGGCTTGCCTGGGGCTGGGCTGGGGGCAGGGCAGGCGCCTGGCGGCCTTAAGCTGCCATTCTCTGACCTGGGACATTTTCACTGCTTCCTCTTAGCCCAGGGACCAGCCTTGGTCCTCTCCTTATAAAGGTGCATTGCACCAGTGCCTCTAGAGACAGGCAAGTGGCTGATACCTAGGAGGACGAGCCCTTTCACCACATTGGGTGTCAGTTCCAAGGAGCCACCTGCTTATAATTACTGCCCCCACCCCGACCCTCAGAAGCACAGATAGTTAATGCTGGTGATCTGGGTAGGGGAGAGGAGCTAGAGTGTTCCAAATGCATCTTTCCATTCACCAGAGATCCTGTACTGAGTGCACAGAGGCCCCAGTTACCTTGGACTGCTCCCTTCTTCTTTCTCCAAGAGAAAGATCATAGCCTAGAGGTGAAGGAGTTCCCTACTGCTTGGGTTTCCAGATCTATGATCTTCCCTCTTGGCAGAGGCAAGTAGCAGATATATAATCTCACCTCAAAGAATGACTGTTGTAGGTTTGGGTCCCCCACACAAATCTGGGTGGCCCTGATGTAGTCCTTAGGGTAGCGGAATTCACACTCCTGGTCCTTCTGTATGGTCAGCCTCACCTCCTGCAGTGTGTGTGGGAATTGGCCATTTGGAGACATCTGGCCCCAGCCCGCCATGCTGCACACCATCCCTGGCATCACTCCACCTGTGACCCTGGGCAGCCTGATGGGCTGCACAGCTGCAGTCCGCTTGGCCTTTCTCTCCAGCTGGTGGGGAAGAGGCAAGAATGTCCAGGTCAGACAGTGGCCTCCTGGGCTCAGGCACTATACTGGGGCTGACCCTTTCCCTCTCCTTTGAGGCACAGGAATGGGCCTATGGGCCGGGATGGACAGGAGGGAAGAAGGGACAGTGTCATAGTGGGAGGGGCAACAGGACCAAGCAGAGAGAGAGCAGCAGGAGTTTGCCTCACCTGCAGCAGCATGATGTTATTGGTGAATGTGTTAGGATTATAGTCTGGGTGAGGAATGGATCTTCTCACAGGGATGACCTGCTGGGTCTCCTCCCACTTCTGGATGTTGTGGGCTCCCAGGGTGACGTTTATGGAGCTGCACAGAGAGCACAGAGGGGTTGTAGGAATATGGAATCACAGGGTACAGCCCAAGGGTTGTGCAGAGCAGGTGACAGCCAGGGCAGGGCAGGGCTGCAGCTGAGGGGAAATCGAGGGGACAGGAGGGCCCCAGGAGGTGGAATTCTGGTAATTGCACCAGTGGTTCTCAGGGCTCAGTTCTCTCCTCAGGAAAACACATGAAATTGCTTTAGTTTCTGTTCTTATGCCAAAGCATGCCCCCAGCTCTGAATATGGCAGGCGTGACCACTCTGTCTTCCCTCACTTCAGCGGTGCCTCTGACACTAACTTTCTCCTCTCCCCATGGGACTTAGTGCCCTCTTTCTCTAAGAAGCCCTCCTGGCACTTGTGCTCCCAGGAGCCCAGGGAGCTTCTTGGGAAGAAAACAGTGGTCTCCATGTAGTATTTCTAGGAGGGCCTCCTCACCTGCCCTTGCAGTGAGCGGCTGTCAGCACGAAGTTTTCTCGTATCAGGAAACTGCCGCACCTCTTCCTAGTCTCCTGATCCTGTATCTGAAGAAAGGCCATGTAGGGGCGGGAGTGGGGTTTGGCCTCATATCTCTCGATGATCTCCCCTGAAGGAAAAGTCTGTCTGCTTGTGTACACCCACTGAGCCCCCCACCTGGCATCTGCTGAATGGCAGCAGAAGGGCCAGGCATCCAGGAGCCTTTGGTGGCCTGGAGTTGGAGGGGGTGGGGAAGGGGCTTCAACTTCCTCCTCTGGAAAAAGGAAGAACAGCAGGCCTCAGTCATAAGTTTTTCTTCCACAATAGTTGGAGGTGAGCACACCTCTTAGGGATGGTGAAATCCCAGAGGCTCCTGATAATTCCTCTGCTGAATTTTCTTTGTTTCATGTGAGTTCCCAAGACCTTTGCGAGTCCTGTGAGACCCAAGATAGTGCTGCTAATGGCCAGGACATAAGTACAGGGATCTAGATGTCACCGTGTCCTATTCCTAGGGCCCGACATGCAGTGGGTGTCCAGTGAATGTTCACTGGCTGCATGAAGGGCCAGCTCCAGTCAGCCTCTCTACGAGGGCTGCAGGGCAGTGCTGCTGGGATTCTGGAAAGCAGAGGAGTTGGGATGTGCCACAGTGGCTCATCCTGGGAAAGAGGGGTGGTGCCAAAGGTCTGGGAAGGAAAGTCGAGCTGGAGAAAGGGACTGAGTGCCTTGAGACTGAGTAAAGGTACAAAGGGTGTTCAGAGGACAGTGATCCCATCAATTCTGGGTCAGCTGACCCCTGAGGGAAGCACCTCTCTTATCCCAGACATAGAAGCCAGGCCTGCTCTGCCCTCTCTAGGAAATTTTAATATTTTCTCATTTCCAGTTTCCCACCTTCTTGCATGCACTTCCAAGTGACAAGGGGACAAGGGTGAGGCTTGCTTTAGTTTTAGTTAGGCTTGCTTTAGGGGAGGGGCAGTACCAGCTGGCTCTTCCTGAGAAGAGCTTCTGTTCTGGCATTCCCGCTGACAGCTTATCTAGCATTGCATTTGGGGGTTCTGCAGAAGGACTGGACCTGGGGTTCAGAATGTCCCTGGTAGGTAGAAGGGTCCAGGATGTGCAGAAGGGGCAGGAGGTCTGTGGGATGGGCCTGGCTATGGGTCTGAGGCTGGGATGGTCACTCACCTGCCTCTGCCCCAGGGGACAGGAAGAAGGCCAGCAGGAGCGCCAGCAGGAGTGGCTGCATCAGGGAGGCTGCCCAGGCTGAGCTGCAGGTGTGCCCTCCTTGCTGTTTTTTAGCCCTCAGGAGAGGAAGGAGGTGAGGTGGGCTCAGTGACCTCATGTCCCTCTCTGGTTTTATGATGTTTCATCATAGAAGGATTTTCAGGACAGGCCACCCCCACTCTACCTAATAACACCTTGGGGGATTGTGTGACAATCATGCAGTGACCATAGCAGTACCCATAGCTGATGACATACGGTGAACCATCAATTCCACAACCAAGGCAAGAACCCAGTGTAATTTGTGCTCACAGAGCAGTTCTTAGTCTGTAGATTGAGGGGCATAGCCCACATTTACAAAGTTTTTTCACATGAACAGGGGAGAAGGTCTTACTTGTTTCCACTTGCTGCTTTGACAGAACAAGTTTTGGAGTCTAGAGCTCTACGTGTGCAAGAGGATACCGTAAGGGATCCTGCCTTTTGAGTGTCCTGGGCTTGGTGGTGATTGTGCTTCACAGTCTTTAGGAATTAGAAAGTGAGCAAAGAAGAGGGCACAGAAACCCAAGTCACATGGACAGGGTCAGTATGTTCTAGAGCAGTGAACTGAACCTGTTTGGCACAGCACAGTGGTGTGTTATGGGAGGACCGTAGTTGTGCCATGAACATTTTAAAAGATCATTAATTAAATTATTTTTGAAAGAAGTTCAGGGCATAGTGAATATGTTCTTTTTTAAAATCTTTTCTTTTTGTCAATAGAATTTAAATGTGTCAAGGAAGTTTAACTATAGGTTCAAGAGTGCCATGCGATAAAAAAGGTTGAAAAACATTGTTCTAGAGAGTCCATTCTCAATCTTCCTGCCTTCGCTTTTGAAACAATTGTCAGTTTTCAAGGAATGCCTGCATTAACATCATTAGTTCTAAAACATCTAACTATTACTATGGCAGTAAGTTATGGAAGTCACGTTCTGGGATTAATTGTCAATGATTTTCTGAAAATGGAATGACATTGTTGTGTAAATCTGTTCAGTGTGACCTGTTTTTTAGTCTACTCTTTATTGTGTGGTTTCCCTTACCCACAAAGGATATACCCTCTACTGCAAGTCATTGTAGGGTGGAGATTTCACTGTTTCCTTTTAAAAATAATTCTACTTAATTTTCAAGTAAAATTCTGCAAGTAGGCCTCAAAGTTTTATCACACATTCACAGTGTAAGATACATGCAAGACCAGGTATTCCTCCTATTGAAAACTAATAAGATTTGTTGAGGTAATGTACCATGAATAGAATCAGGTACTAAAAGTTAGGTAACCTTTCTTGAAACGAATATCTTTCTTTCATTTTATAAATTTTGCACAGTCTTAAAGTAAACATAATCCATTTCCTTTAAAGAACTGGCTTAAAGCAAACAGGAATTGAATTTTTGGAAGGTCAACTTGGTAGAGTTATTTAAATAAGGGTTATAAGATATGATCTATTTTGGAAAATGTTCCACATGCTGATAAAGAGAATGTATTCTGCATCAGTTGGGTGAAATGTTCTATAAATGTCGGTTAGGCCTATTAGATCTAGTATATATTTTAACTCTAACATTTTTTTGTTGATATTCTGTCTGGATGATCTGTCCATCACTGTGAGTAGGGTATTCATATTCCCTACTATTATTATACTGCAGCCTATCTTTATCTCTTTAAGTCTATTAATATTTGCATTATATACATGGGAACTCCAAGGTTGGGTGTGTAGATACTTATGATTGTTATATCCTCTTGTGGAATTGATCCTTTGTCAGTGAATAGTGAAATTCCTTGTCTGCTTTTATAGTCTGTTTGTACTTTGCTTCATCCAGTATGAGTATAGCCACTTCTGCTCCTTTTTGGTTTCCAGTTGTGTGGTATATCTTTTTCTACCCATTCAGCTTCAGTCTCCATGTCATAGGAGGTGGAGTGGGTTTCTTACAGGCAGTATACAGTTGGGTCATTTTAAAAAAATGCATTCCACTTTTCTTTTTTTTAATACATGTGTTTATTTGGTTTCCACTTTTGCCTTCACAAAATTAAAGAGGCTTAAAATTTAATAACAATGCCAATGTTTAAGATAAGGACTAGAAACAAAAACCTCGTAAAGAACTAATGAAGATAAATACATTCAGAAAAGAAATCAGACAATTGTTGAAACAAAATATTGAGCAATAATAATAATAATGATGCAAAAAAAGTAACATTCACATTGTCAGGTAAGAGTATGTCTATCATAGAATGCTTTGACTCTGAGGAGGTTCAGTATGGAGTCATCAGTTAACTTTTTCTTCTTATTTTTTCCCAAAGTCTCAAAAAATAGACAACTAATATTTATAAATAAAAATAAAAGATAATTACAAAAAACAGATCATGCCAAATCTTATAGACAATAGAAAAAGAAGAAAGACTTCAAAATCATTCTACTTCATCTGGATACACCTGATATTAAAATTGGGAAA